TCCTCCACTTCCCGCTGATGAGCTCTCTTCTCTTCCTAAAGGGAGTGGAAAATGGGAGCAGGAGATGTACGGAGCAGCAGTGCCCAGGTTGGGTGAGGGTTAGGACACTGCCCATAGGCAGTGATAGGAAGTTTGGGGGGCAAATATTCCGAAGAAGTGAGCACAGATCTCACAATGAAATATTCTTCTGTACCATTTTTCACCTGTGCTGTCTCATCAAATCTCTTTCTTCCTGCCATACCTGCTCCCTGAGCAGCTTCTCTGCCTCCTTCCCTGCTGCCAGCTGCTGTTGCATCTCACGCAGTTTCGCCTTCAGCTCCTCAACCTCCTCCTCCATACGCTCCACCTTCTTGGCCTCTGCAAAGTCTGGGGAGCAGAGCCACTGTGAGCGAGGGTGAGATCTGCCCACTCCAGCAGCACCCTGCAAAAAGACCAAGCAAAGTCACTGTGGGGTGTAGGGCTGTAGGAGAAGCTGGCTGAGCTGCAGGTACATTCATGAGCCATGTGCATGCACAAACATTCTGCCCAAAGGGAAGGCAGTGAGCAGCAATCATTCGTAAATGTTCACAGAAACACAGAAGAAATATTAAATTGTAGGGAATCACCCCCAGTGCTCTCCCTCCTCTGGTTGCTGGCACTGCATGTGGGCTTGCAGGGGGGCAATGCTCATGGAAGCTTTGTCACAGAGGTGGCAATGGGGGGGGAGAAGGGTCAAAAAAAGCACTTGGGTCACAGAAAGGGCTTCCCCATGTTCCTGGCATGGCAAAGCTTTGCTGCTATATAAGGAGAGGGGGAGACCTCAAGAGAGGCAGCTATTATGCTGGAGGTACACAGGTGTCAGGAGTGTCTTCTGGCAGAAGCCTAACGGGAAGGCCTTAGGGTTCTAGGGTTAGGGCTAGAATATGGGATGAGGCACAAGCCATGGCTTTCCCCAGAGACTAGAAAACAGAGTAGCAGTACAGTGCTGCCTGTAGCAGGCTCTGCTCCAGCCTCAAGTTCTTGCAGGCTGTGTGAACCTGAGCCACCTAGTTTGGGTGGATTTTACAGTCTGGGAGCAAATGAGACAGCTCACTCATCAATGATGTGGACAAGGAGGCATGACCAGCAGCTTTACTGCTGAAAAGGTGCAAAAACCTCAGTGGGAGGATAAAAACCTAAATGGGCACCAAAACCAACAGCCTCCAAAAGTCTGCCACTGGGCCATAGGACATCCCAAGTCACCATGGCACAGGTATTCCCAGGACACCTGAATCTTTGGGATGTCCCAAGCCAGCCCTCTTAACCCCTCCTCCACACACCTTGTAGTAGCCACTGGGTCTGGCTTGCAGGAGGAGCTGGGTGGCCACCAGCTTCTTCCACCTCCTGCTCTCTTCCTTCTCACCCCGGAGCCTCGTTGCCTGCTCCGATGCCAGGCCCTGGGCATGAGCCAGCTGTGCACGGGCATCCTGCAGGTGCTGGGCATGCACAGCCAAGCTGTCAGCCAGGTGCTGCTGGCAGTGCAGCAGGTACTCAATGCTCAGCTGGGCCAACCTCAGCACTGTCAGCAGCACAGGGTCGGCCGGCTGCCTGCAGTGGGGACACCGCTCCGCATCCATGTTACAGAAGGTGATGTTGGAGATGTGCTCCTGCAGCACGGCCACGTCCCCCTCCCGTGCCACTCGCTCCACATCCACAGCGCTGAGGCGATGCCGATCCATGGCAAGGCAGCGGGGCTGGAAGCAGAAGGTTTTAGGTGGGATGATGAGTGCTGGGGGTGCTGTCAGCATTGCCATGGCTGGAAATGGCTGGAAGGAAGAAGGGGTGCATTAAGACCGGGTGCGCTGATCCTCCAGCTCCAGTGCTGTGGTGAGAGGCAGTGTTTTTCTCCCCAGTCTCCCCATTCTCCCCATTTGCAGCTGCTATCTACTGTTTTTGCCAAATTCTGATAAAAGGGAAGGGAAGGGAAGGGAAGGGAAGGGAAGGGAAGGGAAGGGAAGGGAAGGGAAGGGAAGGGAAGGGAAGGGAAGGGAAGGGAAAGGGGAAGGGAAAGGGGAAGGGAAAGGGGAAGGGGAAAAGGAAGAAAGGGGAAAAGGGCAAAAAGGGAAGGAAGGGGAGGAAGGGGAGGAGGGGGAGGTGGGGAAAGGAGGGGAAAGGAGGGGAAAGGAGGAGAAGGATTCCAGTTTATTTACCACCTGCTTTTGGTAAGGGAAAGTTTTCAGACAACTGCCACTCTTTAAAATAAAGCGTTGTGAACGAATCTGAAAATCCTTTTACCCAAACACTGGAATTCACGTGTTTTAGAGTAGTCTCATGCTTATACCATTAGCAGCACTGCAGTGTCAAACAACCTGATTCCTTGCATCAGACAAAGAGGATATGCCTGAGTAGGTATGTATGCATACATATATATATATAGGTCTAAATATAGCCCTGACTCATAGCTGCAAATTGCGTAGATCTGCAGGGGAGCAGCACACAGCTCCTGCAGGTGAGGCTCTGTTGCATGAATTAACCTCTGCTAAACCAGACCAAGTTTCTGCCCCACTGGAAATGTGAAAAGGTGACCAAGCAACAGCAGTGACCACAATGCCCCCACCTCAGTTATTTCCCTGTTCATGGAACACTTTACAATCCTCCAACGATCCCCTAACCGCAGGCTATGTTACACAACCTTGTTAATATTAACAAGGGTTTCACACACCAAAGGAGCAGTGTTAAACCCGGACCTGCTGCTTAGCAGCGTGCCTGGGATTGCCCCACAGCCTGTTTCAGGCATGCCTGATTAGTTTTCCTTCCTCCTCATACAAAATGCCATATATGAGGTCTTCAATGGTGCAACCACTGCAGCAAGCCAGTAACCCAGCTCTGAAGGTTTATTTTCCTTCAGTTCTTTCTTCCATTTGCCTGGGATGGGTGTCTAGCTGGTGTAAAAGTATTCTGACTTCCACTTGCAATGCAACGTAGCACCCACTGATGTGATGGACCTGCTGGTCAGAACTGCCCTCACCACCCCCAGTGGAAGTGTTGATGCTCATCCACTGTGACTCAAATTGTGCGTGCTGGGTGAAGAAGACACCAGCCTTGAGGGATGCAAGTCCATCCCCAAGGTAGCAGCTAGGACCACACAGCCAAACTTGCACAGTCAATGCATTTACATGCACCATTTCCACTCCACTGTGCAAAACCCAACTCCATCAAAGTGCTGATGGAGACAGCCTTCAGAGAGACTGCCGTCCCAGCTCATGGCTGCATGACCAGGCTATTGCTTGATTCTCTTACCTACAATTCTCATCTTTGGCAAGGAATTCTCTCCCCCTTTCCTCCTCCACCCTTCCCAAACTCTTAGGTGCCAGCACCCCTCTGCTGGCACTGGGAGATGCAGGGTCAGGGGACCTAGCCCCTGCTCTTAGGCCTTCTGGAGCAGCTCCCCCCACTCCTCCAGACCTTGCCCACAGGCAGCATTCACTTCCCTCCCTTCGTCAGCCTCTCCTCCTGCAGGAAAGCAGCTGAGCAGAGCCTCGGAAATGTTTTTCGCGTGAGCTAACGAGCTGAGAGCTGGAGCAGCACGTCCCCCAGTGCCGCTCCTCCCTTCCCTTAAGTAGGAGTTTGAAGAGTCGGGGCAGAAAAATGCCAAAAAACAAACAAAAAAAAAAAAAAACCAAATACTCACTTGTTGCTAGAAACAGAGAGAGAAACTGAGGAGCAGGGACAAGGGTAGGGACAAAAATGGGACCAGAGCAGAGAGAAGAAGCCCGGAGCAACGGGAGACTGCTTGAATCCTTGCAGACAGGGAGGATTTCCGTGCTGTAACCCTACACTCCTCCCCTGCTTCCCCCCCCCCCCCCCCCATCTTGTGACACTTAAAACCACGGAGAAAAAGCGGCTCCCGATGCCCAAATTGGACAAAACGCTGCGTCTGTGGGCAGCACTGTGAAACCCACTGCCCTGTGCTGAGCTGTGAGAGCTGCACCCCAGGAAGGGGAGCAGCAAAATGTCCCCCCGTGGCCTCTGCTGGCCTTCAGCATGGACTCAGAGTGCACTGATTGAGTGCTCACTGGGGGATGGGGCTGAGCCCATGGGGCTGGATGGAGACCCAAACCCACCATCCAAATGCATAAACCCCAAGTGTGCGGAGAGCTTGCTTCTCCCTATCAGTCCTGCTGCCACTTCTAGCTGCAGAAAGCAAGCTGCAGATTGCAGCACGCTCATTAGCTGCTGTGTTTACAGAAGATAGCATTGTACAGATGGCAAACATTCTATGACGGGCAAGCCATCCACCCCCGCCTTTCTGCTCCCAACCTAAAAACAGCTGCTCAGACAGACACAGAAGAGATTTGCAAGCTGTGCCTTTTCAGGGAGTTGGGTGGATTTGCATTGCTCTTACGGGAAGAAAATAAAAGTCAGTGCAAGAGAATGCATTGCTTTCCTGAAGCATATAAGTCGCTGGGTGCTCTGATGGGATTAAATGGGGTCTCCCTTATTCTGTTTCCCTCTGGATGGCCCCAAGAATGGAGCAGCATAGAGGGAGCTGAGAGAGGCTGGTGGGGAGATGTGGCTCATGGGAATCCTGGCTTCTGGCAGTAGTTCCATGTGAGAACCATCACCTTCAGGGTGAACGGGGTGCCAGTGAGAGGGAAGGAGACAAAAACGCAAAGTGGGAACCCAAAAGAGATATGAGGAAGAAATAGGTGACAGGTGGACAAAGGTGACCTTCCTAGCACCTCCTGAAATGTCTTTCTAGGGCTGTTACTCCCCATTTTACTGGTAGCAGAAACCCATTGATTTCAATGGGACTGGGGAGTGCCAGCAGGCAGGTCCCATCAGTTCTTGGTGCCCCAGCACCTCCTCTTCAAGAGATGCAACACTTTGCAGCCAGAGCTGACTCCAGAGCCTGAGGAAGGGCAGCCTTATTCTGAAGGAGCCAAAGAAGATGTGTGAGAGTGCAAATATGTCAAAAAAAGGGAATCTTTTTCCAGGGGAAAGCAAGCTCAGAGGTTGTGGTGGTTTACTATCCATTTTATTTTAACTTGCACTGATATGTCCCTCTCAAAAATGGAGGGTATAAAGTTCATGTGAGAAAAGCTCAGATTAACGAGAAGACAGTAGTTTGGGCTACTCTTCATTAGCAGTCATCCATCCCCTGCCATTACACATGCATTACACCTGCTCAGAGGCCTCAGCCCATCCCAAGGCCCCTTGTGTTGGCAACTTGTCTGATGTGTAGCTGACAATTCTGTCAAGAAGAGCATCTGAAATCCATCCTAGGAAGGCAGCAGGTCTTTTTATGAACACCTCCTTTCACAAAGCTCAGTAGAAAGGTCCACAAGTCCCTTTGATTTGTTAAGATTTGGTTCACGAGCACCTCTAAAGAAATAAAACCAAATTTACTCAACCTCTCACGCAAAAGTGTTGTTATAATGTCTCTGCAGGCTGCATCCAATGCATATGTTCCTTGGCAGCCTAAAGGAGCATGGGCAGTGGCTATGCAAAGGTCTTTCGACTGCAAAGCCAGCTGCTGACTCCAATGGGGACGGTCTGGAAGAATCACTCCTTCCTTCTTCCTACACATCACACAGAGTCCTCATAGCTTGTGAAGACCCTCAGCTCTGCGTTTTGGATCAGGTCCTCATAAGTGCTGGGGCAGTAGGTTTTGTACAGTTTTTCAGCCAGCGAGTTGCTCCCAGCAACCACAGCTTTCCTGTTGCGGTTCATGAAGTTCCACAAGTGCAGAGCATAGGAGTGGTTGAAGTCAGGGACTTTGTCCCATACATCGTAGTAGCGGCTCCAGGCTGGGTATGGGATGGGGTAGAAACGCTGTGGGTTCAGGAAGGAGATGTTCTGACAGCTGTGATCCTCGACGCCTTTGAAATCTGTGAGATTGCAGATGGCTTTAAGCATCCTCGTCATTAAAAAGGGCCCCTGGTTCCCCCAGATGTTCCCGTTGTACTTGAGAACAAAATTCTCCATGCAGTCCCAAATAAATTTGTGACGGGCAGGGAAACCAAAGATCCCATTGCTGGAAAACCTTGACTTCTGTGCTGCCAGGAAGCTTCCCTCAGGGATGGGCCTGATGGAGATGACATCTGTGTCCATGTAGATGCCCCCATACTTCCAAATGAGGGCCAGTCTGCTGGCGTCAGAGCTGACATGGACCCAGTTCTTCTCCTCTTCGGGGTCTACCTGCAATCAGAAAAGCAAGGCAATAATGCACCCATCCACCCATCAGGATATGAGCTGCACCATAAAACACCCCTACACTAACAGTCCACGTGCCTTCAAATGCCACTGATTGCCTTTCCTTCCTAAAGCTATTGAATTTTATTGGAAAAAAAGGATAATAGTGTGGAGCAGAGCAATGCTTTGTTAATGTAAGGAACATTGGAACATTTCACTTGGTGTTCTTTGAAACTCACGGTGTTAAACCAATGATGCCATGAATCATTGCTTGCTATATTACTGAAGCTGAAACTACTTTAAATGTTCCCTTCCTTATCGCTCTCAGATCTTCCAAACAGGCCTGCAGGTTTCCATAGACTTTATTAGTTTGGAGAGCTATTTCTTCCTCAGGAAAAGGAAGAGTTTGAAGGAAATCCAGTTTCACCACTTGTCCTGCAGGGAGATGGAGCCAAACAAACCTGACAAAAGCTTATTGCAAGTAGTTTGCCAGGAGCTTGTTTTCAAGGTGGAGCTTGCGAGATCTCACCTTGGGTTTGGACATTGCGGGTACAAAAACTGAAATCTCTCTCACATCTAATCTCCTGTGGGCTGTATCAGTGTGTGGCAGCCTTAATATGTGCTCAGAGGACTCGGGCAGACTAGCTTCTGTTGAGCAAGATTATTAAGTGCTGTTTTATCAAAACACATGTGCAATCTATTTTTACCAACGCTCTGTTTGCCAAAAATCTGATTCTCCAGATAGTGGGAAATTGCTGATATTATGTTCAGTAAACAGATAGATGAATACATTGCAAAACATGGCAAAAATAAACACGTTCTGAACCAGAACAATGAAAGTGACTGGTTTCTCATTGCCAAGCCTGCGCTCCTCCCTTCATTTCAAGCCTTCTTTGGAGTTTTCCCACCATCATTTCAACTTTTCCCTACTTCCCCCTCATCACGACCCTCACCTCGTTGTACCACTGTAGAAGAGGGGTCTCCTGGAAGACGTTTTCCATCTGGAGAGGAAAAAGGAAGACATTCTTCATAGAAGATAAAAGCGAGAAGGCTGTGTAGCTGGAGTTTGAGTCCAACACGGTGTCATTTGTCAGCCCCTTCATGAAGAGGATGATGGGCCGGTCCTGGTAGATCCTGGCAGCAGACTCCACGGAGCAGGACACCAGTGGTGGTGGTTCCAGGCGCTCTGTCGTCTCCAGGAAGATGATGCTTCTGCCCAGGTTGAGGACTTGCTCAGGTGTCAGGAATTGCTTGGGCATAGGCATACAGGAGAAGAAGCAGCCAGATAGCAAGGAGATCTCGTACAAAATGCCGGAGACGAAGAAGAAGCAGAGGCATATGTGGATTTTCTTCAACATTCTTGTTTTCCCTTGGGCTTTGAAGTGATGCCTCAGGCATATATGCTAAGGAGAATCAAGGAGAAGCAAAAATATGTATCTGTGTTACGGCTTAGCAGGACTGGGAGTTGTTGGACTAGCTTTGGAAAGTGTGGCATGAAGGTAGCATAATCATGCCTTTACTCTTAGCAGGAAGGCAGCATAGTGATACTCATGCCTTTCCCCCATAGCACTGTTCCTGGAGGTGTTCAGGAACTGTGGAGATGTGGCACTGAGGGATGGACCTTGTCAGTGGGCATGGTGGGGATGGGTTGTCATTTGCTCCTGATGATCTCAGTGGTCTTTTCCAACCTTAATGATTCTATGATTGTATGAAGGCAGCAAGGTGATGCTCATGCCTTCCCCCATAGCATGAAGGCAGCAGTGTGATACTCTTGCCTTTCCCCAGGACAAACCTGACATGAAACCTTGCAGTGCAGTGGGCTCTGCCTGAGGGATGAAGTGCTGTGTAGCCTCAATTCCTCACCCCCAACCAGAAACTGGGGACTTGGAGAAGTCCTGAAGAAGGGACACATGCCTACATCTCATGGCACAGCTATGCAGTTGCTGAGTTGGAAAAGACCCAGCGTGAGATGGGATGAGATTTTGGCACCTCACCCCTGGAGTAGGCTATTGTAGTGAATGGTTCTAAAGCTTTGGAATATCATGCCAACATGTGCTTGTCCATCAGTAGATGTCCTTGGGATGTGAGAACCATAACCCCAAGGTATGGTGGAGTTAAGGGGACTGTGAGTGCCAGCAATGGGAAGACCATAGTTATAGCTTTGGATGTCTCAGCCAAAGGGAACATGAGCACATAGGAACCAAAGTCTCTCCCAACCTGCTCACACCTCAGCTTTTATCCCAAAGTCTGTGAGGGACTCAGGTCCCACAGGGATGGAGGAACCAGCAGAAGGCAGATAGAGGACAGAAAGCACGCGGCTTTGTACAAGCAAAGAGCTAGAAATACCTGGATTATAGTTCTGATGAATCCACATTTCCAGCTTGTTCGTTGGCCATCAGGCCTCCTGGAAGCCCAGCTCCTGGAGGAAGACACCCAAACTGTCTGGATCATGCAAGGAGACTTCTGAAGGCAGCAGATGGATGCTCAGAGAAAAAGTGGCTTTACTTTCTCAGCCCAAGAGATGGTGTGAGGCCAATGGGGTCCTCCTAAAAGGACAAAGAATGGACAGGTTTGGACATCTCCAGCCTGCATCAGCATTGCCCAGCTCTTCAATCCTAGTCTCACTGCAGCACGAGCCCATACAGCACCAAGGAGCTCTGGCTGGTGAGACGCAGGATTGAACCTTCGCTGAACTGCATCTACAGGCTCACAGTGTAGGGAAATCCCTCCTGAGATGACACCAGGTTGCGTGGGAGCAGCCACATCTGCTCTGCAGGGACCAGCTATCACCCTGGAGCCAGGGTCTGATGGAAGAAAGCTGCATTGAATGACAACTCAGACCAAGTGATCTCCTGAATGTGTTTGAAGACTGATTAATTAAAAGGAATGGGAGGAAATGAGAGTGTGTGCTTGGTTAGTTAATAAGATGCATTACCATGTCACCTAGCTGGAATGTAGATAAGTCTGCAGTGTAGAGAACCCCATGGAAATTCCCCTGGAAGCACTGAGCTCGAAGCTGTGGCAGCTCTTGCTCCATTTTTCAGAGCTCCATCTCGTCAAATTAAATATTAAAGCAATGGCTGCTCCCATAAGTATGGCTTTTCATGCTGCATAGCAAATTTTGCTGTTTCCCATTGCCAATGTATAGAAAATAGAAGGTTGTTGGGGTTGGTTTTTTTTTTTTTTTTTTTGCTATACTCCAGGTTCCTGCAACAGCACAGGAAAAAACACTGGGGGTGAAGCTGTGAGGTGCTGCAATCACCAGCATGATTGTGGGGATAATCTTCTGGACAAGGCCAGCAAGTTTGCAGCCTGCAGGGGAGGAGATGCTGTTTTTTCTTTAATTACTGTTTTTCCCTTCTTTTTCTGACTTTTTCTCCTTGCACAGAGGCTCTGCAGAGGAGACCAACCCCCACCTCCAGGGCCTCTCTGCAGATAGGGAATGTGGACGGAAGACAGGGAGCGGAGAGCAAACACGAAGGTTCGGAAACGACGTGTTCCTGAGCCTGCTGATAAAGCCAGCGGTGCTGCAATGCTGGGTTTCCTTCCACATTCCCCTCCTGCCTCTCTCCAACAGACTTTGACATATTCCTAGTCACTTGAATATAAAACAGGAGAAGTTTAGCAGCTCTCTCACCAACCTCGGCCAGAATTTCAAACTCTTCTTCCTATTATTTTCCCCTCCAAATCCCAGTTTAGACCCAAACCATGCACGCAGCTTGTCTGCTGTTTCCATGCAGTCTGGAGGCTGGTGCTCCCTCTCATCCTTTGCAATGTTAAAAATCTCAATGCCAGTCTGCTGGCTTTGGTTTTGATGAGAAATGGGACCACCTGGACTTTCCCATTACTTGTTGAGCATTTCCTCTCCGATGGCCTCTAGATCCAACATCTCCTGCCTGAACGAGGAGCCCAGCAGAGCGGCGGTAGCAATAGTGTTTCAAATTTAAAACAGTCCAGAAGGCATTTTATTTGCAGATTGTGGAGGGAGAATAAGTAGACCCTCCAACAGCTATCAGCTCCGTGTACAGCATTGTACGGAGCGACGCCAATCTTCATCGTCTCATTCTGGGAAATTGTTTTGCTTGGTTGGTTTTCCAAAACCCACTCTGTGGCGAGTTAGAATTCTCATCACATTTGACCTGGAGGCTGCTGTTATCAAAATGTTCACTTCTCAGCTCAAGTTAAAAGGACTGCAGAGCAGCGCGTTAAAAATAAATCCCAGCCATTGAATAGATTACCCTGCTGAGTGGGCTGCTTTTCGGCTGCAGCAGACGGCACGCTGGCTTGATGGCCCTTCTTGTAAAGATATTTCTTTTCTCCAGGCAATTGCAGCATTTCAAGTGCGGGATGAAAACGGCTGGGAGACTACAAGTGAGATTAGGAGAAGTGCCGCGTGCTACAGCACGGCTCCAGCTGTGTGATAACTCCTCTGCCATGCCCACAGGACACGTGCAGCAGGAGGGTGCAGTGGGATTTTGGGGCTTCCTCTGAGAGTCAGTGGGTTTTGCACCCAACCGACAAGGTGGTCGTCCTTATTCCTCCAGGTGGGGAATAACTGTGTGCCGTTCAGTGCTGATGCACTCATGGCATTGCTTGGGTTTGCACTCCCGTGTCTTTGCAGAAGCTGCTAGAGCAAATGGCAGCTGCAATCAAGTCAGTGCCTGTGCACGCACTTCAAAGGCAGTTCCCCTCTTGATTTAACACCAGGCACATGTGGAAACCTGTATCAAATGGAAGTCCTATAGAAGAATATACCATATTCATTGCAAATTAATGCTACTTCTAGCAATGCACACAAGTAAAGGCGCTTCCTCCCACACCACTTTTCCCTCGTTCTGATTCCCCAACCCGGCATGTTTATAGGTAAATCAAAACTCACCTTTTGGCTGGAATAATCCAGCAAAGCCTTCGGTCCTCTGGGAAGCAAATCCAAGCTGGAGCAGGCAGGAAGGCACTGGAGGAGCTGCACTGCCTCTCCTCTATCTTTTTCTGTGCCAGGGCTTGGAGCAGCCTCATAGCTTGCTCGTTACCTGCTCTGGTGTTTGCATTCTTGGTGCTCTGAGATAACACTGAGGAAGGAGCTGGGGCTGATCTCAGAGGCACAGGCATACAGCAGCAGGCAGTGCCCTGCTGGGGTCCCCAGAGATGGGGGATAGAGCCAAGCAGCCTCCAAAACCCTGACTGCCTGCACCCTGTGGAGCACTGCTTCATTCCCAGTTGCCTGGAAGGGAGGTGGCTTACATCATATTTAGCTTTTTTTCCACTTTGTATCCCAAACTGCCCTTATGGAAGACACTGCATTGCAGTTTTGGTCTTTGCCCTAAAATAAAGGAGTGTCCCAGAGTAGCATGCAATGCTATTGCCTTCCTTGGAAGTGTTCACAACAGTGCCCTTCACAGATATATCCCAAATAGCACCCTGTGTCCTGAGCAATGTCCCAACACAGGTTGAGTCTATTTAATCCAGGCCAGGCTGGATGGGGCCCTGGGCAGCCTGATCTGGTGGGGACAACCAGGCCACAACAGGGTTTGAATTGAAAGGGCTGTAGAGTCCCTTCCCACCCAAACTGTCCTGTGATCCTATGAATCCAAGGAGCACTTCACCAGCAGCCCTGCACACACAGGGTTGGACTTGCATGTTAACTTGTAGTGGAAATGTGGTCACCCAGCCAAACCGTGGTCACCTCAAACCCCGAACAAAAAGGCTGCAGGGTTTGATGTTGCTTAATGCACTGCTTTTAAATTGCATTGGCCTTGCAATGCATTGCTTTTAGGAGCAGGGCTTGATCTTTACAGGTCCTTTCCAATTTGTGATAGTCTATGATTCTAAATGCACACGGCTAGTTTGCACCGAGCATGGCTGTGTTTACCAAATTTCATCAGAGACCTCAGAAAACCCTCTGGAAGGAGTGCAGCAATGACTTGGTTCTTAATAGCCATCTTGTGCTGGGTCAGCAGGATTTATAACAGAGATGGAGCCACAAAGTCTAATAGAACCCCCAGGCAGATCCCTCCTGCACCAACCCACTGTGGTCAGCGCATGGAAGCCAGAGCACTCTGGTGGGATGCAGACTCCCAGAAGTGGTTCTTTGCAGCATCCCTCCTGCTCACTCCTTTTTGCTCTTCTCCTTTGATTTTTGGTGAGGCTGTAGCTTCAGGGCAGACTTACTGGCGAGGCAGGACACTCACACATGTGCCTTGCACATGGTGCAGAAGGATTTGGGATGAACGATCCAAGGTCCTTCTCCTGCAAAGGTTGAAATATTGTCATAGAAGCAGTCATATAAATATGGCCAGCTCCCGCATCTGCCACCCAGAAAAGCACTTTTCTCCACCATCAGCAACCCCCTAGTGCTAAGAAACCACTGAGAAGTGCTCAGCTAAGCACCTCTGCCATCTGTGGGGGCACAAGACAGCAAGAAGCCAGCTTGCCTTCAGCAACCCTTCACTGAGGAGGCCAGGGCGTGGATGCAAAGGGCCCGGCCTCCCCTGGCTGTGTTTGCACTCCCGCGTGCAAACAGCCTGCTGCAGGCAGCTGCCAGGGATGTGGAAGCATTAATGCTGCCGCGGCCGTGCAGAACAAACAGTTCCATGGAAAGCTGGTGAGATATCCCAGGCTTAATCAGCAGATAGCACCCAAGAGAGCATGCAAGAGGGCTCAACTCACAAAGAAGTCCCTGGGAATGACGTAGGATGAGCCCCTGTGCCCGACACACCTCAGCTCTCCCCAGGAACCCTCTCCTTTGGCAAACATTTCACTCAGATCCATCTCTTGCAGTGAGGGAGTAGGATGTATAACACCCAGGATGACCATCCATCCCTTCCTGATGCATAGTGCTGTGCCTACAGTACAAGCTGATGCATAAATACAGGGGCAGAGATGCCATCTGGTACAAAAAGCTTCAGCCCAGCTTTTACCATGAAAGCATCCCCATGCCGCACCATCACCCATCACTTCCATGTGCCACCAGCCCCCTGGCCTGAGAATTTGCTACAGACTGTAGGCTGTTGGAGCACATGCCTCCAGACTATGAGAATGGACAGGGTTGGAAGGGACCTGATGTCTCCCTGACAGCCACTTGGTCCAACCCCCTGCAAGTGCTGCCAACACAGAGCACGTTGCCCACGGTGCCAAATACATGGGTGCATCCCAAAGCATGAAAAGGAAGATGTGAAGAACAATCACTTGGCTGCTTGTTGGGAAAAACTGAAAGAACGCTTCAAGGCAGAAATGGGGTTGTTTGTCCTAGAGGGTTCTTTTGCTTGCCCCCTGCACCTCTGTGAATGGTGCTGGGGTGAGCCCTAATCTCATGAAGGAGCGTTTTTACCCCAGAAAACTGCCTTTCTTTTTAGTGGCTGGATTCATCCTGACCCCTAGCAATATGCTGGATGAATAGAGGCAAAGATGCTCTCACATGGATGCCAGCATCTCACTGAGATTCTGTTCTCCTTCTCTGGGTTGCCATGGGTCAGACACAGCTATGCTGATCTCACTTGTGTCCCATCAACCTGGCATGTGAGTTGGGGCCCTGATAGCCACGCA